ACAAGCAAGCAAAGTGGAGGGGGGGAAAATATCTGTCTGGCAGGTTTTAGTCTACATATTATTGTTTTATCCTGTTTTACAGGCAAGCCAGTGAGCTCTGATTCTAGCTGTTACAAGGCATTTATGATCTCAGAACAGGATTTCAGAAAGATCCTAAGGAAGGTAGATGCTATTCACTTTGATACAAGGCTGCTAAAACATCAGTGAATCCTGTTGAAGGGTATAAAAATACATCAGAAGTAAGAAACAAAGTACAAGGGAGGATGAAAGTCCATGTTTCCAAGAGAGGATAATGGGAGAGGAGAGAAACAGACAAAAATGACTGTGGGGAGGGTTGTAATCCCTCCTCCTTCTTTTTTTCACAGCTTATGTGTCTTGAGAACCTCCACCTGCTTCTCAGCATCTTGTGAGCACTCGCCCATCTGTCAGCATCTCTCTCTGCTGGTTGCCTCATTATAGCCAGAGAGCCTAGCCTGCAGTTTATCGACAAGAGGGAAATAGGAAGAAAAGAGACTTGAAACGCAAGAAGTTCTAGGAAAATGGGAGGCCTAGATACTCATAGATCTTGAATACCAGAAAAGTCTTAACAGGTCATTTAGCCTGACCTTCTGCACAGCAAAGGATGTAGAAGTATACGCTGCTTCCCATGCAGCTGACCTTCAGAACTTGTGCTTAACTAAACACATTTACCAGAAGTGCTTTGATCATCTTTGTGGCTCTTCTCTGGACCCTCTTCAGCCTGTCCACGTCTTTTTTGTATAGTGGGGACCAGAATTGAACACCTCTCCAGATGTGGCCTGACAAGTGCTGAATGCAGTGGGATAATGACAATAGCTGCTGGGGATGCCCTTGTTGATGTTCCCCAGCACCCTGCTGGCTTTCTTTGCCACAGCTGCACACTGTTTGCTCATAGTAAGCTTGTTGTCTGCCAGTACCCCAGGTCCCTTTCCACAGAGCTGCTCCCCAGCCAGGTAGACTCTAACCTGTCCTGCACTCCTGGATTATGTTTTCCCAGGTGCAAGACCTTATACTTGTCCTTGGTGAACTTTGTAAGGTTCTTGTTAGTCCCCTCTTTCAGCCTCTCCAAGCCTTTCTGCAGGGTGGCTCAGTAATGTCCCTGCCTTTTTATGGGCAAATGGCTCCTAGATTTTCAGATGGTGGGATCTGAATAGCGCTAAAACCAGGAACACAGAGCAAAGAGCAGGAAGAGCGTTTTGTTTGCAAGATTGCACTTCTGTGTTCTGAACAGGTGGCTGACAGTGACCTGAGACCTTAGAAAATTGAATCAATGAAAGAAACAAGTTCAGATTTAATTATCTGTAACTGCATAAGGCACAGAAAGGGTAAAACTAAGCCACAAACCACATTTTATTGAGTGAATGTATATGGCAGGAGCACATTAAAAACTCATCTTTGTTCAGTTTTATGAAGTTTCCATAACAAAACAGTTGTACTGACTGAATAAATTAAAACCCACCTTTTTATTATTATTTCCTCATGAAGCAATTCCAGATATCGTTCAATGTCTGATCTTCATTCTCATTTCTTACAACTGGTTTGAGTTCTCTGCTCTTTGGTAGAATAGAAAGTAAAATGATCATTGGGAAAACCTCATTTCGTGAGCTACAGAGTGACCAGCAGGAATCTCTGGGAGCTGTGCAACTCATTTTCTGCATATTTCTGGAAAAAAACCCTGTTCTGGTTCGGTTGGTGGCTGTGAATAGTCACGTGTGCACATGTATGGTAGATACCTTTTGATCATCCCCTTCTGACAGAGTAATAACACCACTGACATGTCAGCCAAGGATGTGTTTGAGTCAAAGGTGCCACATCATGCAAGGATTGTGTGTGTAGGCATAGAGAGATTGAAAAGTAAACCACACTTGGGAAAGAAACCCTAAATAATTGTTGTTCTACATAACTGTTTATGCTGAACTTCTAAACAAATCTGATATTGTAATGGATTTGTCTGAGATGGAGTTAACTTTTTCCACAGCAGCCTGTCCAATGCTGAGTTTTGGATTTGTGCCTAAACCAGTGTTGATGCCACACTTGTGTTCTGGCTGTTGCTGAGCAGTGCTGGCACAGCATCAAACCTTTCTGTCTTTCTCACATCTCCCCCAGTCATTTGGCTTAAGGTAGCCAAGAAGTTGTAAAGGGGCACAGCCAGGACAGTTGACCAAAGGCCAAAGGGATGCTCCATCCTATACAGCACCACGTTCAGCAGTAAACTGGGATAGAGGGAAAAGTAGGAGTGGGGGTAGTGCTGTGTGCTCAAAGCTGTGTCCAGCCTGACCTTGACCACTTCATTCCCCCAGTCCATGCCCTGAGATTGAGGAACTCGGAGATGTGTGAAGAGCAATTGCCAGTGAAAACTGAGACAAAAGAAGCTGCTGAGTACCTCAGTCTTCTCTGTGTCAGTTGTCACTAGATCGCCTGTCGCATTTATTGCAGGGTACACTTTCTTTTGTCTTCCTTTTCTGACTAGTGTTATCACATAGAATCATAGAATAGTTAGGGTTGGAAGGGACCGGAAGATCATCTAGTTCTAAGCCTCCTTCCCTGGGCAGGGATGCCTCATTTCTGTTAGGATACAAGTGCCAATTGTTTCACATAGAGATGCCCCTCGTTTGAGAATATGCTTAATATGTAGACTCAAAAATTAATTGCAGTGGAAATGAAGAATAAAAATCAGAGCCAGCAACATAACTGTCATGCAAGACATGCTGTCATGCAGCCTCTGCCTATCTGCAGAGCTCTTTTCGCTGACATATTTCATGTGGTTTTCAGTCCATCAGTCTAGCAAATAGACTCCCCTTTGGTTTATGAGAGTCCTGTTTTTAGGTTGCTTAGGGAAGGATCAGCACAGTCCATAGATCCTATACTTCCTTCTCTAACTTTCAGCATATCAGCAGGTACATACACTGAAAATGACCTTTGAGATTTTTCTGGAATGCTTTTCTTTCCCTAAGTATAAACTGAAATATAAAAATATGCTATGAATTTATACAAATGGTACTCATGTCAAAGTGAATAATATTCTCTACTAAGTACATACTTCATTGTAAATCTTTCAGGCTGTGATACAGATCTCAGTTTAAAGCCATGTGTAAAGTTAGACTATGCAGGAACAGAACTTCTACTGGAAATATCTCTACTGTCAAGTCTCTACTCCTTTCTCTTTTAAAATAAGGGTAAAAAAATTAGAGATGCTTCCATCCAGAAGACCAAAAACTTGCAAAGAACCATTGTTGCAGGGGGGTTCAAAATCCTGAATGGGATTGTACGCAAAGTACCCATGAGCAGTATGAACAGGGTCGTCAGTTGCCTCAGAATAAGGTGAAAAGTCTACTAAGTAGTTCTTAGTCTTGTAGAGAGAGACTGCTTTTGGGAAGCAGTTCAAGCCTGACAGTGAAGAGATCTGCAGCAGTTCTTCAAGGCATAAAGTTAAAGGAGAATTACACAATAAATAAACCTGGACACAGCATACAGCAAAAATACTGGTGAGATTTTACTCTAATTCCTAATTGCCCGAGTTTATTGGCAGAACCGCTGAAGTTATAAGACATAATAACATTAAAATGAAACATCTTTATTTCTTTAATGGCAAGCTTTGGCTCTTACAGTTTTCGTCTTACAAAGTGCAAAAGGCCAAACAGACTAAACTCTCGGCTTATGAAAGGCCATTCATTCAAGAAATGAAGTAATTTTATTCGTCAGAGAACAAGAGAACACAACAGCAATAAAATATGCTTCTAATTTTTTCTTCTAGAAATAGCCAATCTGCAGAAAAAAAAAAAAATCAAAGATGTCAACTGTGTAATAAATGTGTTTTGAAAGAATATTCTCTATAAAAAGTTTATTCCTGTCCTTCCAGTTTTCATAACAATGCATTTCATTCCATCAGACATAACCTTGTGAAAATCTATTGGGCAGGAATATTTTCCACTATTAGTATTGTTAGTAATAATAATAATCACAGAGTGGGGCTTCTACCACAGCTTGATAGCCTTGCTGAGTAAGATAATACTGTTTCATTAATTCATTTGAACAAGAAACCACAGCTGTACTGGGACATTGGGGTCGTAATTGGGCACCTGAGATTTTTCAGAAGAACTGAGAGAGCACAGTGGCTTTTTTATTTTATATGAAAGAAAACCACATTAGATGGAACTCTTGATTGTCTTCTATCTGGTATTCTCCTTTCTGAATGTTATCATTGATAATCTGCTTCAGATAAACCCTTCCAGCTGACGTTTAGCTACCATAATAAAATTTACAGCCCCAAATTACACAAACTAAGTCATATATATGTTATTATTCACAACCCCTGTTTAATAATAAGTATCGATTATAGGGTTTGCTGAGGATGACCTGGAGGAATGTGCAGGAGATCCTACTGTACATTTGTAAAACTTCCAAACAGGTTTTGAATCATCCACTATAAATAGAGCACTGTAATGCTTGCTAAGAATCCACTTCTTTTTCAGCCATAAAATCTCACAGAGGTCATTACCACTGCATTATTAGTTCATTGTAAAAATTAATTGCCCGTGGACAGAAACAAAAATGTAGATAACTTCTGCACCACTATGTATCAAAATGCATATTACCCTAAAAAAAACCTATGGAAACTGGAAAGCTGCAGAGATCAAATATTAATGTCATTGTTGATGTTTTCTTCTGAAAGCTGGTGAATGGGTTTTTTCAGTATTATCAAAATTATAGATGGAAATAAAAAATCTTCTTCTGGGATATAATTTATTCTGGTTAAATTTTACAAGTCAAATCGATCTGATTTTCATCATATGCTATGGAAACTTTTCACAACAGCTTCTTTGGAAATATGTTAACTCCTACTCAACTCAGAAATGCTCTTCTAAATCCTGAAAGGTGCCGAGTGGTGCCTATTTCTAGTAAATATGACTCCTTTCTTTTTTGGAAGTATAGGTGAATTTGTGTACAGTGTACGATGGGTTCCTTTTTGCTTGGTGTTTCAGCTGCTACGGAGGTTTCCTTTTCATTTGATGTTGGAAATGGGCCTGTGGAAATCATCGTTAGATCTCCCAACCAGCTCAATGATGATCAGTGGCATCGTGTCAATGCTGAGAGGAACGTCAAGCAAGCCAGCCTGCAGGTAGACCAGTTACCCATGGAGGTCCGGAAAGCACCAACAGAAGGCCACACGCGGCTGGAATTGTACAGCCAGCTCTATGTCGGTAAGATGCAGTGCGGGTAATGGGGCTTTGCTCTCCCATGCTGAACACTCTGTGCCTCCTGTCTTGCCAGCAGCAGTTAGTTTAATGTAGGAAGTTGGCTCCTGAAGCACTTGCATGACAGCATGGGGGAGAAAGAGGAAAAAGAAGACAAGCATATCCATAATTACAGGAATAAGATCAACTAAGAGGAAAATATCTTGCGCTGGCAGCTTGTCGCTTTTGTCTCTCCCCACCTGCTGGTTCTGGCTGAAAGTGCACCTAGCAGGCTGTAGTGCCTAACTCCCTTTTTGTCAAGTGCCTCTCTCTCACACGCACTACAGAAGTGAAAAATTGTGAGTAGGTCTTGCCAGGACTGCATATGCCTGCAGTGCCCATCCTAACCTCAGCAGCACTTTAAGCCTCTTTAGGTTTGATCATTGCCCACGCTTTTGTGCTCAGAGATCTCACTGCAGTCCTTTCCTCTAGTCCCATGGGCTGTTTGCCCATTTGATGCAGGAAAGCATCACACAGTGTTACACAAATACATTCCTTGGAACCAAGTTAGTCCAGCTGCTTGTTGGAGCTACTGGTCTCTGCTACGTTTTGGGCAGGCTATTCCAGTAGCGCTTGTATTTCTCCGACTGTTAACGTCTGTGCTGCAAAGTGCAGACATGCCAAAGTGCTAGTAGCTAGGATCAGAACCGCGTGAAATGTTGAGCAAAGAAGGTCTTTCCTACCTCTCTAGATACCCGTAAACAGAAGGAGAGGGAAGGGGGAAGGAAAACGACATCTCATTTTTTTTCCCCATGATAATAAAGAGTTCAATGGCAGAAATTGAAATTATATTTAAAGCCTTCACTGCCTTGGTGAACAGCAGAGTGTCACTGCAGACTGTGTATAGTATGTCACCGGGCATGCAGTCATTATTTACAAGCTCAGATTCTCCTTTACTGCTGACTGTGATCTCAGTAGAAGGCAGTTTCAAAACAAGCTGAAATGTGAAGTTTGTTTAAAAGAGTGGTTAAAAGATGGAGCCTTAACCTTTTGAAAGAAATACCTAGCCTTTTGCTGAAAACAGGAAGAGCTGGGGTTTTCCAGCCTGAGTTCTTGGGGAGCTGTTAGTAATGCTGATTTTTATTTGTAGCTTTGAACTAACTGTGTGTTTTGAAATACCTAGTACCTTTATTGCTGAAAACTGAATGCCCAAATCTGCAACAGATTTTCTTTCTGAATCATATCCATAACTTGGTGATTGGAGCATACATCTCAAAGAACAGATTTATAGCCTTACTCAGAGTCAGATAGAGAATTGATTTGAGTTGGTGGGTCCCAAATGAATACCCTGAACATCGGGGTCTGGAGAGTAATACTGAAAAAGAATTGTTTCAGTGCCTCCTGTTTCACTTGCTGCAGAATAAATATCTATTTGTTGGCCAGCAAGAGAGCTTGAGGGATGATGACTGTATGTCCTGACGACTAGGAGAAAGAAGGGAATTAGATGCATTAGGTTTTCCTTCGTTAGTGCACTGTATATGAGTTTACATAGATTGGAACCACACCAGAATGCCCTCTGCCCTGTTCACTCAGCGCAGATCAAGCATTGCCTCCTCTCGCTTCACATTGTCCAGTTACTAGCAATTGATCTGAAACAGCCAACATTCCTTGGTTTGTATTTAGTCCTCGTCCCCACTCAGGTATGTGTGCTTTGTGGTGATGAGCACTCAGATCTCCTCAGGTACTCTTAAGCACCTGCGGCACTGCAGTAATCAAAGAGACGAGAGGATGAGGAGCAAGGATGACAGCAACTCACTGTTATTTACTTGATTTTTTAGGGGGGTGTTGTTTCTAATCCAGCCCCAGATAAGGCTTCCGTAGCTGTAAGTTGTTCAGCAAGTGCTTACAAGAGGGGGGAAAGGAACAGTTCTTATCGACTGCTGAGAAAAGCTATCTTGATGCAGGTTTTCAAATGTAGCTCTTCAGTGCTGCATCCTTCACTCTATGCTCTGGCAACTAAACAATTTTCCTGATGTTGCTTGGAATTTAACATCTGTGTTTCCTATTGCAGCTGAGTAGAGATATTTATATATTTTCCTTCTTTCCCCATCATGGCTTTGAAAAATTAACACTGCGGAACATACTATGGCATTATGAGCGTCCATCATCACTAATCATATGGAGAGTAAGGCTATACTGTAGCAGTTGAGGCAGGCCCATTTCTGTAACTGTTCCCTCTAAAAATCTTGGAGTTTAAATGAAATGAAGTCTTAACAGTAGAGGCTAGATTCTCTAATGTCTAATCAGTGTAAAGCAAAAGCACGCCTACTATTTATGCTTATTTATGATATGGTATCAACAGCTTAGGTTTCATTGACTTTATAGTCGGTAGGACAAGGCAGTTCTAGCCTTTACAAAGAAGTTACTTACTTCCAGCTGTTGTCACAAGCTTAGCAGTGTATTTCCTGTAAAGCAGTATAACCTGTTCAGTGTTGTCTCACAGTTCTACATTCCCTCTCAGGTGCTGCGGGAGGGCAGCGAGGCTTCCTGGGTTGCATTCGTTCTTTAAGGATGAACGGAGTGACACTGGACCTGGAAGAGAGGGCGAAAGTCACGCCAGGGGTGAAGCCCGGCTGCTCTGGCCACTGCACGAGCTATGGGATGTACTGTGCCAACGGTGGGAAGTGTGTTGAGAAATACAACGGGTACTCCTGTGACTGCTCCAGAACTGCCTATGATGGACCATTTTGCATTAAAGGTAAATGCTTTAGCGCAGGAGGCAGAATATGGGAGAACTATTTGCCTGAGAAAAAACACCATATAATCAGTGCTTCATCTATTAATTAAACAACTAAGTCCTGATAATGCTTAATAGTTCTTACAGACAAGTCAAATTATACACGCAGGATTTAAATGTGATGATTTAAAGCCACATTTCTCATTAGTACTAATATATGTTACCTCTTTAAATCAAATAACAACAACAACATGAATCAGGAATGCCTTTAGTCATAGCAGGTCTGTCTGAATGCGTTCTGTAGTCTTGAGTTGTTGTATAATAGATTCCAGCTTGCAAAATGCCATGGTTAATTCTTTAGAAAAAAAAAATCATGGACTTAAACAAAAGCTATTTAGTCTCGTTCAGAAACATACTTGGAGATACATAGGTGTGAGCTTTGGGTTGAATATTATATAAACTGTGAAGCTAGCATCTGGATTAAAAGTTTTATCCCTCTATAACCATTTCAAGTCTTTTAGTAGCTCAGTCTGGGTTAGAGATTGAACTTGCTAGGAAAGGGAAGGTACAGAGCTCTCACATCTATGTCAGTCCTTTGGAAATGCCTGAAGTATGTTCTGAATTTTCAAAACCAGTGATTCTAAAAGACTGATTTGCTATGGACGCATGTGCCTACATGACAAGTGAGGGAAAGATGTCCATTACATATGAAAAAGAAGAGCAGGGATAACGATGTTGTTATATCTGTATGGTTTTTTTCTCACTTTGACCAGTAATGATTGAGACAAATTATTAATGGGAATATAGTTTTCCAAATGTTTGTGCAGTTTGCAGACTTTGTGGCCATTCATTTGCTCCCTTTACATTTCAAGAGGAAAAGAGTTGCTGCCATGCCATATTGAATGAATTCACTTTTTAGGTTTTTTCTGTATTGCTGAAATTCATCACACTGGCTTTTATTTGTGTTTTTCTGTTTCTCTTATGGATAACCCCCAAATTTCTGCCCAAACCCGCTCTAAGCTGAAGTGTCCTGTTTTTTCCTGGGTGTGGCACTAACAGAACAAAAAATACTGGTTTGGAGTAATTGAAGACCTAGCATAGACAAAACCTGTGCTTCACCAATGTGTAAGTACTGTCATAGAAACAGCAGCAATACTTTATTATACTACAGTAGTCTCCTTATCAGCGTCCCAGTCCAGCCAAAGGCCCAGGCCTCTGACTGTGATGCTTAGGACACAGTAAAACTTGGTGTAAGCTCCTGCTGCTGGGCAGCTCTGAGTCATGCAAAGGTACTCATGCTAGCTTGGGGATCTCTGTACCACACGTGTTGTGCCATTTAAACACAACATCAGATCTCTGCTTTAAATATCAAAACTTATTTCAGGCTAAAAATCTCAGTAAATCCTTAAGGCCCTAGATACGAAATGGAAATTACCGATTTCCTATTTGCTAGTGCTGAAAACTGATGTACTCATCTAGAATATCTGCAAGTATGATTTAGGGTGAGTGACTTCATGGGGCTTCTCTGTAGAAACAACAGAGTGGCACTGGGATAAAGTTAGAGGATAAATTAAACACGGAGTAGATTGGGTTTGAGGCATCCTGTGATCAAAATAATTGTAAAACCTCTGTAACAAACAGTGCTGATAATGAAACTTTAAAACAGTTCATTTTCAGCCCATTAAATTTTACATTGTAAATTTAACTAGTATTAAGCTTTTTCAATCAAGTAAAGCACTGGAACATGTTATGCATGTTGTCAAACTCCCTAGACATGTGAAAGAAGGGGATCCTACACTTGTTTTCTATAGCTGCTCTTGGAATCTTATACCATGTCCTCTTGATCCATAAGATGAGACTGGATATATTCTCTAGATGCAAAGGCTGAACATAGAGTACTAACAACAGTGAAATAAATACTGGCAAAACAGTAAAACAAAGTGTTACCTAAGTTATTTTTAGTTGATTTTTTTAGTTGATTTGGATGAAAACATCACAATTCTGATATTTCAATTAATTTTTCATTAACACTTCAACACTTTCCCCTCTCTAAAAGAACTGAAACATCTGTGAAAATGTTTTTAAAGACCATAATGTCTGTTTTCAACCAATTCCATTCTTCATAGCAAGGACATAGTTGCATACTGCTCTGTCACTTGTGATTTTCTAACTGGCACCACAGTATGCTGTTGGATGCTGTCATGGGGGTGAGTCTAATAGGAGGCAAGCAAGCAGATTTTCCTTTGTTACCTTCACTAGGAATTCACATCAGCTGCCGAGCAATAACAAGGTTAGTGCTTTGCACAACAAACTAGGACTGGGTTTCATTATTGTACTCCTCTGAGCAAATCTTCAGGCCAGGTACCCGTGTTGATTTGATAATCAATAGTGCCTGACTTTTTAAGTCCCCACATCCAAACCAATGTGACATATTACCGTAAAAAAATGCTGTGTAATACCTTTCAGTATCCTGCAGTCTGCTCCTGTGGATTTTGCTTCGCCACAGGAAGCTTTTCTTATCCAAAAATTTTATTTTGATATTCAGGTTACTTCCTCATGGTAAACTTTTAGGGGTTGGTTACACACCGCAAGTGCTAGGAGAAGGAGTGATAGGAAAAATCAAAGGAAAAGCCCCATCATTACCTTAAGGAAATCGCCATACAATGGTTCATAGTGAATAAACATATCTCATAATAAAAACAGGCTGTGCATATTGTGAATTCTTTTGCTGATGAAATCCATCCGTAGAGCCTAGAGACTGATGGCTGACGAGATCCTGCGTTGCCTCCAGCCTTATTATCAGCAGATCAGTGTGCTTGATGTGGTAGTGGCCTGGAAATTACACTAGATTTTTATAAGGGAAAAAAAAAAAAAGTGCAAAAATAGAGTCTGACATCTATTTTACCTTTATTTTTGTTTTGGATTTGGGGCATACGCAATTGACTTCGCTTCTTTCAGTGCTCAGAGAAATTGTTCTGAGGAATAGCTGCAGTGTTTCTGCAGTCCTACAGATTGCTTTCTGACCTTTCCCTGTCCTTTGCTTAAGCATAAATCATCTTTTTTTCTCCCTCCCATAGCTGTCCTATCACCGTAAAAGCATTTCTGGGAAAACATTTTTATTTTTCCCCTTTAAAAAAAACAAACTCTTTCCTTCTTTTAAACAAAAAGAGTGAAGGTCAGATGAGGAGATGGCTCTGCAGAGCATGTGGCAGCACTCTAATGTGGGGGATCCCCCAGGGAGCAAGCATTCCTCCTTTGGGTATTGACGTGCTGTGGATCAATGGTAGGAGAAGAAATTGTCCTTTGCCAAGAGAATGTGGCCAAGAAAAAAGGTTAAATAGCTGGTGCTGTGACTCATGTGCCTTCAGGTCTGCTGGAAGGGTAAATTCAAAGCTTCCCAGTTTCTGTGCAGTTACCCAGTTTGCATCAACAAACACCAAAGAGATGAGTGCAGTGTATAAACGTTTTTCTTTCTTTCAAGTCAAGCTCAGATTCAAAGTGTGAAATGTTGCAGTCCTTGTGCCAGTGCTCGAACTGAACTCCTTCATGCTTGATTTTAGATTTTCATGAACCCTAAACCCTTACCATTGTCATGGTCCGGTTTCTTTCCTTTCTTGCTCCCTTGCCTGCCTCAAAGAGGAAAACTAGCTTTTTACTAGGCTGAATGGATGCAAAAAAAGACATACCAGCTCTGGTGCTATAGCACATGAGTGAAGCAGCTCTGCACCGTTTCCACAGACTCTTTGATCCTTGATCATCTCCAAATTCTGCCCTGGTTATACCCATTCAATTCTCTTCATTTTGCTGGTTGCAAATACGTTGCATTGCCTTGCTGTAAGTAATGGGGTGGAGGATTGTTCAAGCAATTTAAGGTAACTAACTTCTTAGTTTTCATTGTTCATAATCCCAGTACCTGGAATGTCAAAGGCAACATTCTTTCCCACCCCCCAAAACAATTCTGCTATACACAACATGATTGTGATCTGTTAGCTGAAGGTGATAACAGAAATTTTCCTTGTGTTGGGAATGTTAGGCTCCCAGTCTGTAAGTATGAATGCTGCAGTCACATTTTTCTACCTGTAGATCAAACTCCAGGACTTGGCTCTTAGCCTTCATTGAGTAAATATATATACTCATTAAAAAAAATATATACTCTGTAAAGCTATTCCATTCTGCTGTCCTGTCAATAGTGCCTTATTAAACATGCATGGTTATGCTCTGGTGCTTTGAAAATTGCATTCCATTTAAGTTGCAAGAATTTTAAGGCAAAACAACCCTTCTCCATGCTCCTTACGCATCTCAAAGAGATATCAACCTGATTATAAAGAGAGCTTGCCAGCCCACTTACAGCCCATAATACACTACTTATAAATGCAAGGATTTCTTATTCTGTATACGGAAAGGAAGTAAATCAGGGTAATGAGTTAAAAAAACACTAAGTCCTGGCTCCAAAATGTGATGAACTTTCAGTGTCTTTGTCAGCTAACTACAGGAGGCCTCCTCTGGTGTCAGTGCTCCCTGCATGCAGATGTTTTATCAAAGATGAGTAGAGCAGCTTCAGTAGCATTGCCAGCTGCTGCATGTCTGTGCAAAGGCAACTGAGAGATTTGAGGTTCTCACGCCAGACACCTCTGTGCAATATTTATATACCTGTGTGCTAGTTGGGTAGTATGGGCACCTCACAAGCTGATAAAGTATTTGTCCTTACAATATCTCTGTGATATGAGAAGACATTTTTGTTATAGTAATGCAGAAAGTGAATGAGATTATGAGGGAAGCAAGGAACTGCTCACTTTTAGAGTGGATACCTGTGGTATAGGAAGGACTTGAAGCTAGATCTCACCTATCAGAGTTGTCACTCTGAATACTGTGCAATCATTGAAGGGCAGTCTGTGCTATTTCTCAAATGTCTCTTTCAAAGATGCAGGTTTTTCTCTGAGGTTACCTAAAGAGCAGCCCCAAAGGCACCCTGGCAGGAAATCATGAAACCTGGTCTGTTGTATGTTTGCCATTGTGTTTTT